GACTCAAACTGACACTACTATAACTGAAACAAATAACTACACATGCTGTCCTACGAACACAGTGGGGCCCACATCAGTGTTCTCTACAAATATAAATAGAAAAGTTATTCTTATTTTTTTTTTTTAAATTCATATCTACCATACATGTACCTAAAATAATAGAATTTACCACTTTGTGCAATGATGTCTAAGATGACATAATCAAGTTTGACTTGCAGGTCCACATACAATGGCTCTATATCCTACATATGATGGAAAATAAACTCAATATATGATCTTAAATAATGTAAATAAATCAATCCTAGTAAGATCCTTAAAACAAGTCACCCTTGACAAAACCAAATATAAACAAAACAAAATGACAAAGTAGAGAACTAATTCTTAATTGAATTGATTTGAATTGCAATGAATCATATAAATTGTAATATTTATGAATAAAATTGTAGGATTCAAACAAAAATCATAAGATTTTTGCAAAAAATGATTCAAACATAAGATTCAAATCAAAACCTTTAGGGTTCATGATTCGAATTGTGAATCGTATCATAGTCAGCCTGTAAGTACATATATGGTACATATGAATTAAAAAAAGTAGAATCACTTTTCTATTTATATAAAATTAAATATAAGTACTCTCAAATATTTGTATTTAAATATAATACCAAATTTGTTTTTTAATATAGATACCAAATAGAAAATTAAATAGAAAAATACATATTCTGTTTTTTTTATATTAAATAGATACCAAATAGAAAATTAAATATAGATGCCAAATTTTGAGAAAAAAATACGTATTTTTTTGGACATTAAGCAAAGTATCTGGTAGTCAGCCTGTCATATTTTATCTCTTTCTCTTAGTGATATCTTGTAGTCAGCCTGTCATATTTTCTCTCTTTCTCTTAGTGACTTGATGTACAACTAATCTTTATCTCTTTCTAGCCCCCCTTTCTTTTCCTGTAATTCTAATGTAGTTAATGCACATTATGGTGAAATCTTTGGAGTATTTACATATTGAAATCTGTACTATGTTTTATAATATTCTGCTGCTTCCATGCAAGGTGCCTGCACCTGGGTTGGGGGGGTTGTGGGTTGGGGGATGGGCTACCCCCCGTTGTGTGGCCCTTTAGAAGATATCAAAAAAATATTCTGCTGCTTCCATCTATTATTGTTGTATGTTATTCTGACACATTTGCCTTATTTTTATATCCATCACCATCACTTAATGAATCATGTGAGGCTTTGGAGTTATGACAATATTTCCACCTTTATTTACTATAACTATGTTAATTATCTCAGGTTGATGCTTATTTAAGTGAACTTCCAATCAAGGCACTTCCAGGTGTTGGGCATGTTCTAGAAGAGAAATTGAAAAAGCGTCAAATTTGGACTTGCGGCCAGTTGCGTAGGGTTTCCAAGGTTTCTGAGATTTCATGTTGAGATATGAGCATTACTCTTTAGATCTGGGATCCGAATATCAAATTGGTTTCATCATTATCCTGATTTTAGGGGTTGCTATATTTTCTATAATCTATTTCTGCCTCTTCCTGTTGCTGGACTAGGCTTTGTCAAACGGAATTGTATAGCTGCTTCATGCTATAGTGAACATTTATGTTTGATGATGGTGGTATGGTAGCTGGAAAATTCTTTCCTGTGGAATGAAGTTTGGATGGTGACATGAATATATTTTTATTACTATTGAAGTCTTGATTCTTTATATGGAAATCATAGAAAAAGCCTCCTTAAGGGTTCTAATCCCGGCAAAACACAATATTTGTTGATGTAACTGAAAGGCAAAAGACAACATTTCATTCATCAATAAGAAGATCTGTTTAGATAGAAAGGTACCTTGTTCACATGAAAATAAAATCCTATGCCTGATTTATGGCCTAAATCTCAGCCATTTTTCTGACATTGGTTACGTGAAAATCTTGGAACAAAAGAATTACCATTAAAGCAGATATTCTTGCCACATATCATAATCTGTCGGTAAATTGGCCTTCATCATTGTCATCTAAGCCTTGTCCAACTATATGAGTGTTTAAATTATTTCTTACTACTTCAACTCATGACATTTTTGTCAGCTCCTAGTCCTAGCCTCTTCAACTTGTGACAGATCACTTCTTCTTATGGTGTTATTGATGGTCTTCTATGCACGTGACCAACCATTTTAGTCTACTTTCTCTCATTTTATCACCTATTAGAGCTACTTCTAGGTTGCTCATCTGTAAATTGGTGGCATAACTTGCTCAAATCATGTCCAATCACATGATCTTTGGTCTTGTTAAACAACTGAATAAGCTTGGTAATGATACTACAACAGAATGACAGAAGTAGTTGGACATGCTTTCACATGGAAAATTTGGTCCAAAGTAATCTGACAAGATTTTGATTCATAGAACATAAGTCTTGAATTCCATGATTTGTAGCCTATCATTCTTCATGCCTTCTCTTGGTGTTTCTGTTGTATAATTGTTTTTGTCTCATCAGCTGCATGGAGTTAGTTTCTTTTTCCTGTAATTTCTCATGATTTTCATTGTTTTCTATTAGGTATATTTGGTTTCTGTTAGATTTGGTGTAGTGAATTGCAAGCAAATGCTTTGCTTGTCTTGTAGTTGAAGAATTGGGACTTACACACCTTTAGTGGGGATTTCCTTGGTGTTTGTGGGCTAAATAGATTGAAATTTTTTTCTAATGTAATCTACTTCTATGGAACCACTATTCATTTATCCAAGGGTGCATAAAAAATGAGGCCATTGTCTATTCATCAAAATCAAGTTAACTAATTCCTGAACATTAGGGGTCATTTCTTGGTGCAATGGCAAAATCTCTGGCTGACAAGCATGAGAATGCAGGTTTGAGTCTGGGAGCAGCCACTTTGTGCAACAAATGCCAAAGGTTATGCTGTATATAGTCCACCTGCCCCAACATTATCTACTTTGATGATAATCCAGGTTGTGGGAAAGTTAGCAAATACAATTGACTTTTATGGTGTCACTTAGCTAAATATGTTGGTTAATTCTGCAAGCATATTGAATCAAATTTTAAATGGGGCATTTCTGAATTTGATTCAATAAGAATCTGGGATATTTGAATTTGATTTGAAATATGACGCGTCTGAGAACTATATATTTGAATTTGTTCTAAAAACCAGGTCCAAATTTCCAAAATCCTAGGCCATCTTTTGCTTCATGATTGCAACCAATTCCTCATGATGGTGAAAGTGTCTGGTCCAGTTGGCCAGAGATTCTTCATATCATGTCTGATTGAGTGGGGTTTGCTATAGTGTTATGGGAAAGGCAATGAATGTGGCAGACAAAAACAAGTTTGAAGCCTTGAAGGTTGTAGAGCAGAGACCTACTAAAAAACTCATGGGTGCATGCAAACCTGTATGGATTGGGGACTTTAAGGCTGTTGATCATGGTGTGGATGGAGATGAGATATCATCTCTGATACGACTCAACAGATAGCCAGACTTGTCTGGCAGTCTGACTATAGGATCACATCTTCACCTTTTGAAAAGGAGGGGAGGTTCTCTTCTTGGCTGCCTCTCACTCCCTTTCTCTATGTTGATATGAAAAGAAGAATAGGGTTTTGACATCTGTTTGTAGGTAGACTCTTTTACCCTTAATTTTTAAGTTAAGTCTTTAAAAGAGGGTCATATACATGAATACATCCACATACAAAGACTACACATATATGGATCTTGATGGATCAAATTGGCATAAATCTGAATTCGATCCAATAACTAATTGAATCACATGAATCTGACTTAAAGTAATCAGATTTTGAATTGAATCAGATCAATATCCGATCCATTGGCAGCCCTATTATGGGTAAAGTTAATTGTTTATTATGTTTAAACATTAACGAAGGTATTCTAATTTATGGGTTGCAAACTTGATTGCTCAATAGGGGATCTTGGATAAAATGATGACTCTAAAATCTGTGCCACCATCTCATGGTAGTCATGTATTAGCAAGCCTTTGGGTTATATCATTATAATGAAATTATTTAATATAGTTTTTTCATTCATTATAGTTTATAATTTGTGCCTTATATGAATCTCAGAATACAATGTATTTCTTACAGGACATGATTGAGTTTTCTGACTGCAAATGCAATTAAGTAGAAATTTGTGGTTTATCTATTAGCTTTGCCCTTTTGTTACTTATCATTTAATCGTGAAATTTAAAGTTTCAACTTTCAAGTAAGCTATCTACAACAATTGTTTATCATTATTAGCTACACTCTTGCTTTTCCTGCTTTACTGCTCTGGTTATTGATGTGAATGTTATGAAATACTAGCTTATTAATAACCTCCTTTTGCTAACTATTACAAATAAGACTTTGGAATCTCTCTGATAGTTTTTAATGCACGCATTTTCCAGGAATCTCTTCTAAAGGACTTTGGTACAAAAACTGGTGATATGCTTTGGAGTTATTGTCGTGGAATTGATAACCGGATGGTTGGAATGGTTCAGGTATGGCAGAACTTCTCTAGAATCCTATTTACCTTAACATGGCTAATAGCATTATGTCCCTACAGGTGTCTCTCTAATCTTCTTATAAAGATTGTTTAATTTCTTTTGGCTAATGGCCATACAAACTCATGCCAATGATGGGGTTGTGAGATACTGTCAAATTAAGTTGGATTTGGTAAATCAATTATACTAAGCGAACCAAATTGGGTTAGCAAAGAGGGTCATTTTTACTAAAATGAAAAACTTGCTAATAGCTAGCAACCTTCTACATATAATCTTTTGACAACTAAGCCTAGGGCATAATCCTATTATTTTGCAATTAGAAAGTTTGAGTGGTGGGCAAGTTCTTGCTGTAGTATGAAGTCTGAACTTTGAATAACTCCAGCTAAAATTCTGAATTCTTTAATGCTTTAAAACATTCAGTCAGAAATTCCTGACCACTGCCAAGAGATTAACGGAGGAGTTGGGGTTAGATGGAAAAAGTAAGGCTTGGGAGTTATTAGGACAAGTAAGGGTCAGTGTTTGAACTTGGTTGGTTAGTTTACATTTCTGCTTGAGATTTTATTAGCAAAAACTGGGTTGAAAACCACCTTCATAATACATGATTCAACAGAGAGAAAGCTTAAGAAATGGAAAACATTGGAAAACAAGGGGTGCTAGGTTATATCTTTTATGGTGTTGGTTAATACCCCACAATATAACAAGTCCTTACTTGCACTGTGGTTTAATTCTATAGATTAAGTTAGCCATTCCATTTCCTGATAGTAATATGTGCTTTCATATCCTTATCTCATACCATTATGCACATGATATAATCCACAGGAAACCAAATCTATAGGTGCTGAAGTGAATTGGGGTGTGCGGTTCAATGATTTGAAAGATGTAGGTATCTTGCCACATTGAACATTTAAATTGTCATTTTCTTTTCTTATTATAATGTTTGTTTGGATCATTGATTTTGAATTTTGACAATTCTCCTTTCCAGAGTGAAAATTTTATTGTGCACCTTTGCAAGGAGGTATCCTTGCGCTTGCAGGGATGTGGAGTGCAGGGACGCACTATTACTCTAAAGGTATTATCTTGAGTGATATATTGTTGTTCTTCTATAATTTGAATTTTATGCTTATTTAGGGACTTCTTTCTATCTTTTTTTTTTATTCAGAATTCTTTTTTTTGGTGAGTTATTACCTCTTTCATCTTTGGACGAAGTGCTTTTGATAATCTTCTTGTGTAGACATGGCCATGTAGGTTGTGAAACACTATTCTATTTGATATGTTTTTTCCAGTTAAAAAAGAGGAGAAAAGATGCAGAGGAACCTAGAAAGTACATGGGATGTGGAGACTGTGAAAACCTGAGCCATTCTGTGACGGTAGTACTGGAGCTGGGGGAGTGTCTTATCCATTTTCAATTATACATATATGTAGTTCCCATTTTGTCTTTAGCAACTAACTCTTGGCTGCAAGGTTCTGACCCTGGTCACTGGTGCTTATTGCCAATATAATAGGTCCCAATTCCTACTGATAATGAGGATGTTCTTCAAAGGATAAGCAAGCAACTTTTCAGTTCTTTTCACATTGGTAACCAAAATTTAGGCAAATTCTATGTTATTTTTTTTATTTCCTTTAAAAAGTATGAATATTAAGTCATGTAATCACAGGTTTTCAGTTAGAGATTGTTTTGCATTGCAGATGTGTTTAAGTTTTAGAACCAAATACGTTTTAGCAAATGAAAGGATAGGGCTTCTCATTTAAAATGCCAGGGCAGACTCAATTTTTTATAAGTAAAGAAAATACATTCAATCCCCATTTCATGCACGGATATTTTATTTAGTAACCGTGGGCTATCTAGTCTTCTAGTCATGCTTCTTGATTTGTCCCAGTAATCTGAGATTTTACCACCTCCTATATTACCTGATGTTTTATATTGTCTACTATCCAAGGTATCGGTTCTTTTTCAGTAGTCACATGGTTGACCTTGATCTTGTATTTTTTTCCTTTCTTCTTTGAGGTCTGATGAATAAGTATAAAATAGGTTGAACAATTTTCATAAAGTCCTCCAAACAAAGACATATTTTATTAAAGGAAAAAAATCATTTGAAGTGTTTAACAGAATACTTGCTACATGCATAGAAACTTCTAACGGCATGCCTGAATTTAGAACTTTCCTAGATGGGCTTAGGATAGCTCAAGATTCAAATTATAGCTGAATATTAATGGAAAGTGACTCAATGAACACTGTGCCTATAGTTCAAGAAATTTGAAGCCCCTTTGGAAACTACTTTGTCCTTGAAAAAAGATAGACAAGAGATTACAAGAACGAGAGACGGTGATATCACATACTTAAAGAGAAAACAATAAGATGGTTGACCTCCTAGCAAATCTAGCATGTTACAAGCAGGAATCTCAAACTTTCATCTTGCAAAGTATGGCCCCTAGAAAAATTAAGGTGGCAATGTTTTCATGGATAATATGCGGTTTCCAAACATTAGATTTTAATCTTTTTTTTTTATGGGTGAAAAGGTGCTATGCCTGGGAATAATTGTTTGGAATAATCCCCTCTCCATTGTTTTCCATATATTAATAATTTTTTAAGGTAGTAACTCCTCTTCCTGGAGTAAAATTTGAGTACTAAAATAAAATACTATATACATAGAAATATTGAAAAATGGGTAGAAAACTAGAAACTATTTTTCTTAGATATGAAAAAAAAAGGTTTTCTTTTTTCCTGAAATATTTGACACATCTGTGATGTAGAAAACTAGAAATCATAGTTGGAATGAGCTTAAGATGTCCTGTCAACTTTTGCATATGCTGTTTAATAACCTCTTTTTTTTTTTGTTAAAATTACCTTAATTACTCTCTCTATTTGTTTCATTTTTATTTTCTTTTTTAAATTGGGACTTTTCTGTCTCATGTTATTGAATGAATTCTTTTCCAGCTCATCTTCTGTAATTGGGATTTGCTCCTCACGGAGCGTGCCTCACACCAACCTCAGTGCATTGCAGCCCTGCATTGGGAACATCTCCCATACTTGATTTTGTTAGTCATGGGAAGATATTCCCAATGCAGGGATGTGATGTGCTGTGAGGTTGGTGTGAGGTGTGCTTTGTGAGAAGCAAATCTGATTTCCATCTTCTACCAAACTGGCTTTTCTTAATCTTATGTTGATTCTCATCACACATTGCTCAATGATACATATAAATGTAACTAATCCACCCCAAGGTTATTCATACAGCTAATTCATGTATTTGTGCTGTGCAGATATAACCTTTTTTTTGTCTTGTTCTCTGTTCCTGCCAATGGGCACATGTGAACTTTAACATTGTGTTTGATTGTTAAGAAAACGGAAGAAAGGAAAAAATATCTAAAAGAAAGTGACTTAATTTGCTTGACAAGGGAAAATAAAATAGAAAAATAAAGTTAAGATAAAAGAAAATCTTTATTTTATTTTCTCTTATTTTCTTTTAATTTGTTGTGTTATTATCTGTCTATCCTTGCCCATCATCTCGTCATGACACTTGTTAACTCTTTTTTCAATAGTTGAAGTCTTGTTTACACTTTGAGCACTCTTGCACAGATGTGAAGGAAATTCGGGGCATTGGCTTGCAAGTTTCAAAGCTGGAAAGTGCAGACACAGGTAAACAAGTTTCACATGCATTTTTTTTTTAAATTATTTTCTTTTTCGTTATTTGGATTTTATGAATTTAAGGGTTTACTTCACCCATTACTTCAGCACTGTCATTTGAATCATTGTTGGATAACTTGGACTCAACTTTTCTACTTTGTTTGAGATCTCTGGGTCTAAAAGCTGGATGACTTGGTTAGGATTAGAAAATGCAAAGGTTTGGCCTGATACACTTGAAACTTTTTTTTTGAACATGGTAAATTGGGTGAACCAATCAAGCCAGAATTTCTGAAATGGCAAAGAATGAAATGAGAAATTCTAATCTTTCTTCCTTTTCAAGGCAAATTCTAATGGCCTTTTCTATTTTTAAATCTATCTTTCTTAATGATTCAGAAGGCAGGATCTCTTCTATTAGTGTTTCAATTTCAAAAAGCTGATTTCACTTTCTATTTTAGAAACTATGCATGTATAAAAAATCTTACCCTCATGTAATGCTATGACTGTGTGGTGACTGTAAACTCATTTTTATTGTTTTCTCCATGGATGTCATGATAGATCTATAGAGCATCCTTTTTGATCATTTGAGGTGTCAGGTATTCATTTAGTTGGTCGTGAGACCTCATACAATGTTACAACATTAAAACTTTCTTGCCTCCAGCTTGAGCACTCAAGCCAAAAAATTCCCCTGTTATATTGCAGGTTTAAGAATCGAAGCCTCATCCTTGATTTAGCACTTGAATGTTTAAGTGAAGTCTGAATGAGGATAAATATAGAGAGGGAAGAGATACAAAATGGAAGGTTTTCTCATATAAACTGTTGTCATGAGAGAGGAGAAAGATAGAGGGGAAGAGAAGATTTAGGGCAGCAGATCACCACCCAATATCTCTCTCAAATAAGAGACTAAGAGAGTTGCTTTATATTGATACTAGAAATGTCCAAATAATAGAGAAGTCCACAATGTGCCAGACATTGCATTAAAATCCCTGATTATAAGTTTTCTTCCCAAGGTACCCCGATTTACATGCTTAGTACAGCTTGAATACTCCAACATATACTTGTATGTATCTATATAATAATATACATTGTATATGTTCAGCTTGGCACGGATGACAGAATGACTTGCAAAGTAATCATTTTAGAGGTCAGGCGAGTGAAACCTGAGTATTTTGACGGCGCTTTGGATCATCATACACAGAACCATGTTTCACAATTCTTGTGTGCTAATGGACTATTGCTGCTAAAAGTTAAATTGTTATCTGTTCCTAATTTATGTACTGTGATTTTTTAGGGGGTCTAACTGCATTTACTGACTTTGATTTGAAGGGCATGACAAAAATGCTTTAATATCATGGCTCACCAATGCCTCAACAAATACAGGGGAACCGCATGAAGATAAAGAGGGGGTTGATAGAGGTAAATGCAGATCAATTTTGTAACCTGATTTAAATTTTCTCGACTTCTTGTATAAGAAATAGCTATTTATCTTGAGAATGCTACAAACAGTGCTAAGAATTCAATAGCTAAGTTTAAAGCATATAATAAAATAAGTTTAGGAAAATAGATGGTGAAAAGGATATATGCAAAGTACAAACTATGAAGAACAAGGTGGAAAAGATCTAGGTCATATGCACTAAAGGTGAAGATCAATGAGTTCTAGTAGAGAATGAAGAGATTAAAAAGATGGAAAGGTTGTTGTTTGAAGACTTAAAACGAAGAACATTTTAAGAGGCAACACTTAGATATTGTGAAAACCCTATTAAGTTCTAGGTTAAAGTAGAGAAGAAGAAGAGGAAGAAGAAGAAGAAGAGAAGAAGAAGAAGAAGAAGAAGGAGAAGAAGGGTTCGGCCAGTTGAGGAAAATCTATCCTCTCTAGTCGACCCACTTGTATTTATCTCAAAATAAACTTAGTTACAAGAAAGACCATATTGTCCCTCATTAGTAATGGAACACACAACTTAAACTTGAATAAAACAGACCTTTCACTCTCAAATAGATAAACCCAAATGACCAAAGTACCCCTGTTCTGTGAACTCTAACAGATACGGCGTTAGGAGATAAAGAATGTGGATCATATCTGTTATTGTAGGATTTGGACACTAGAAGTTAAAGAAGCTCATTTGAAGATCATAGTTTTCAAGGCGCCAGGGCGAGGCTGGGTGTTAGGGGGGCGCCTTGTCGCCTTGTCGCCTAGTCGCCTAAGTAGAAATCACTGATTGCAGATTTAGTTGAATTCCTTGTGAAGGGAAAGAAGAAGAAGATGAAGATTTCAACAGTAGAGAAGAAAAGAGGAGAAGAAAAGAGTAGGAAATCAACTAGGATTCTTAGATTAACCCTAGCCGCAAACCCCTCATTATAATTTATACTTAACTTAAAGGATGAGATATTACCAGAATGCCCTTAGTAGGACGGCTACTAAAGTAACTGAACAGTCATAACTCAAAAACATAAACTAATGGGCCTAAAGCCCAACAACTTCCTAACTAAATAACTTAAAATAAGAATAAAAACAACTAGGCCCAACTCAACACTCCCCCGCAAGTTGGGAGTAAATGTCACACATTCCCAACTTGCGTAGATCATGCAACTTGTTCTTTGCAACGCCTTTTGTGAGAACATCAGCGAGCTGCAGATCAGAAG